GGTTTTGAATGTTTTATGCTTGAGAAATGATATTCTTTATCTTATTTGAAGTATTCAAAATATGAACAAGTGAAGAAATATTATAAGAATGTGAAAATAAATAAATAAATGGTAGGAATAGTTAATGGAAGAATACTTTAAGTGAGTTAAAAAAAATGATTAAAACTATATATTGAAAATGAGGTGTCAAATGAATGAAAATTTTGATGCAAAACCCAATTAAATAAAATATATTACGTGCTTTAAATTTAGACACATATGAAAAATAATAATAGATTAATAATGTAGTACAATTTGATTGATTCAGGATATAGATCATATGTGAATAAAAAATAAATTATAAGGTGAGGAAAGAAAAAAAAATGACCAAACTAAATACATATTAGGAGGCATTGAGACCTTTTAAATGCTGCATCGGAAGGTAGTGTATGGTGATTAAGCGACTTCACACACGTCATCTGAACAGTAGAGCCCGACCACATATCAATAACTTTTTATTATTATATTTAATCAATGTAAATTACAACAATTCCCTTAAGTAGCTTCTAAATTTACAATTAAACCAATATAACATAATAAAAAAGCTGGTATGAGATAATTATGTTGATTGTCTCTAAAGATATTAAAATAATTACACTATTCTAAAAAAATAGAAAAGAATAAAACACCACTTAATAATATGCATTATAACTTTTTTATTATAGAATTAATTAGTAATTTTATTGTGAAAAAAAAAATGACCAATCTAGCAGCCCTATATAATTTGTAAAAAATAATTATATTATAGTAAAAAGACTACCTTACCGTCAACACATGCTTATAAAATTTAATGATTAAAAAGAAATTTCATCATTATATTATATTATAATAAATAATAATCTGAGTCTTGATAGGAGAATTAGTTTTTTTTTAATGGAAGTTATAACAATCCAATTAAAAAATAATAATGAATTATTCTTGTCCATATGATATGTCAAATACCCTTCATTATGCAAAATCTTGAAATCAAGTTTTAAAAATAAAAATAAAAAATGTTGTAGGAAGGAAAGAAAAATTTAAAAAAATTTAAAATTTTTTAAGCCTGTAGTAAAGAAAAATGAATTTAGTAAAATTCAATAAATGTTTTTCTGAAATAAAATTAAATTAAATTAAAAAAAACAGTAGCTTGATGGGTAATTGATTTGATTCAAACTTAGGATAAATACTTATTGTTTTGGTGACTTGTGTTTGATATAATTATTGCTTTAGAATCCCAAAAAATTAAAACAAAAACCGTGTGAAATAATGAATCTTAAGCTATGCTAAATATAATTTTGAATATTAAATGTGAAATATATAAAAATTGTTTGATGGATATAAATATGGCCCGTTGGATACCCAGCCCATCCTACATGGCCTTATGCCAAGCCAGTTTCAGTCCGAATGTCGTTGGACCATTATCCAATATGGGCTCGGTTATATATTTTCCCATCACCAGCTCATGAAAATAAATAAATAAACCTAGTATAGCCACTGCCTCCCCCTGACCAGTACCCATCCAACAAAGAATATATTTGAACCAATGAATTTTATATTCGGAAATCCTAATAAAACATTTTTAATTATTAAAGAATTAATTTTATCCTCAAATAACTTTGATTTCACAGACCATGTTTTCTTTTAGAATTCTTTGAATGGAAATGACCGCAAAAAAGGGTGTAATAATTTTTAGATAGTTAAACGTAAAAATTTGTGTGGTATGATGATTTTTAATTATTTTTTTATTAACTTATTATTTCTTTAAATTTGATGAATATTTTTTTAGGATATATATAAAAGCCGGTTGAAGGTAAGATACAAAAATAATTCTTTAACCCATCCAGATATTGATTTAGATTTGTGGTTATAGACATTATTGTCTAATAGATCTAATAAAAATCAGGTGTACAAATTCTTTAATATTACGATTGAGAATTTATGGACAGTTCGAAGTACTTCAATTATTGGATGCTTGCAATACGATGAAAAACTTATGAATAGCCCGTAGTGCTTTGATTATTGGATGCTTGCAATACCATGAAAAACTTATGAACAGCTCGCAATGCTTCGATTATTAGATGCTCACAATTAATTTTGAGTACTTAAACTCTAGAGTTTGTAGCGATGTTAAGCCAATGAGTACATGCTTGGATGACCTTACTTAATGTAAAATGTAAATGACTCATTGCTGATTATAAAGAATTTTACTGATTAGTAATGAAGATAAGATTACATATAAGTGATATATGTGATCTCTTAATCGACTCCATAGTCCCAACGACGACTAACCTTCTTCTCCTTCTCTTCGAATGCCACTTCTATTTTAAATTTATTGTATTTCAAAAAAAAATAATAAATATTTTATTTTTATATTACATTAATTTTCTTAATTATTTTTCTACATATGTGAAATATATATATATATATATATATTGAAATATTACCAATGGAACAAATTCATTGGTATATTCCAGAGAGAGTTGAAAAAAATTACTATAAATATTATTGTTATTATTAACTTAACAATGAAATTATAAATGATATTTTATTAGTGATATATTATATTTATCAATAGATATATTGGTGAACAAATAAAAACATGGATGACATTATATACTATTTTTTTATTGGTGATATGTTAAATTTATTGATGAAAATACTTACAGAATAAAACAACTAAATTTTTTCAAATGTGTTTTATCCGTTAGTAAATCCATCAATATATTTATTATTAATAGACTATTTTCATCTATGAATCTATCGATAATATATATATTGACATGCTATAAGTGTAAATATTAGTAAAAATTCTTGTTAATATAATCATTAAATCTAATAGTGATGGTAGATAGGATTCAGTAAAAGTATAATATTACTTAGGTTTTCAATCTTAAAAATGAAAAAAAAAGAAAAAGGAAGAAAATAAATAGATAGTTTTGTTTTAGACTTAATATAGTGTGATTTTCTTATTTAAAATAATTTTATTTGCTAATCGAACAATTTAAAATATAAAGTGCTGAATTTCATGTACTGAATATTTTATTATATCAGCTAAATATACAAATTATTTACTTAAAGAAAGTCTCAAAAACTATATTCGTAGATAGTCTTGAATTCTTTTAAAGTATTTTTGTTGGTTTCTGAAAAACCAATTTCATGAAAAAAGTGTACAGATAATCTCGAAAATTTATTTATTTTATTGTTTAGAGGAAAATTATATTTAAATTATAGTTTTTGGTGGAGTTGTGTGGAATATCTACGGTGGGCCATACCGACATCAAATTTTCTCTTAAAAAAAAAGAAGAAGTTAAATTATAGTTTTTGGTGGAGTTGTGTGGAATATCTACGGTGGGCCATACCGACATCAAATTTTCTCTTAAAATTGTTTTTGAAGATATAGGCGTAATTGACTAAACTTTTCAGGTATAAAAAAAGAGAGAGGTTATTATAGTAATTTTAAGTTTAATTTAAAAAAATAAAGATATAGGATTAATTTTAAATTTAATCAAAGATTGGATTAAAAAGCTGATATAAAAATACTATTTTTAAATTTTATTTTGGTAAATTAACTGAAACAAAATATTAAACCCAAACTCAAATTCAAGAATTAAATTTGGAACAACGAAAGTTAAATGAAAAAAAATTAAAGAGAATAAAAATTATAAATAAATATCACAGATTAGAGTAGATTGTGTTGTTTTTATATGTTGAATTTTCATTATTTTTTTTATAATATTTCTCTCATCTCGTATTACCTAGCGTTTATATAATTTTAGACATTATTTAATGATTTATAGATAATAACTTTACAAAATTAAATTACAATTGTAAAATGAAAAATAAAAAGATTTAATTAAAAATAAAAATAATTTTTTTTTTGAAGTGATTATCTATTTGGATAATGTTTCCATCCTATTTTTTTAAATTTTTTTTATAATAATTATATTTTTCTTTTCAAAATAATAGGTAATTAAGAGACCCTTTATATTTCTCCTTCCTTTGAGACCCACCTTACTAAGTTTTTGAACTCATGAAATGCGTAGCATTTGGGCCACACAATGGAAATATCTCTCACCAAGCCCTAAATCGCACGAGCACTGTTGTTCTCAAGACTGAGCTAATGAGCTGCAAACGAAAAATTGTGGAGCTTTCTTTTAGTTTGGTAATATTCATGGATATATAAAAAATTGTGGAGCTGCACCAAGCCCTAAATTGTACATGTTATACTTTTCTCTATATAAAAAGCTTGTTGAAACTAAATCACGGGGATGTTAATCTTCAATCCTATGTTTTGATGATTTAATTTTCTAGTAGGAATTTATTTTCTATATATAAAACTTGTCATTAACCTTTGTTAAAATTGGTTTACTAGTTAATATTATTGAAATTATTATTAGTGGGTTATAGTTTCTATAAATATACGAGTTTCATCTTATTTTAAATGTATTTAGAGGGTGTTGAAGAGTGTGGTAGTGATTATTATTTTATTTTAAATGTATTTAGAGGGTGTTGAAGAATGTGGTAGTGATTATTATTATTTTTTTTTTAAAATATATTAAAATAATGTTTTATTTTTTAAAAACTTTTGACATTAACATATCAAAACAATAGAAAAAATTAAATTTTTTATAAAACATGAATTCAGCAACGTTTCCAAACGATACTTAAAAAGAAAAGAAAAAAACTAATGCCCTAAGTGATTTTTTTTAAAATAAATTGTATTATATATAAATTGAGATATGGGTTGGGTTTTAAACAAATAACTGCGTCCATTGTTAATGCAAGCTCCTGCGTCATTTTATTCTTGCGAAGTCATAAGAGAGTGTGGTTGCAACAATGGTTGAATTCTCATTTATAAGCTTGCACTCGGATTATATATTCCAAACCTTATTATAAAACTAATGAGGAATGCTTATAGAAATCCCATAAATCGACAATATAAATATGATATTTAGTGCAAATTAAAGTGTACATGGGAAAATATAAAATAAGATATAATTTAATTAAAATATCAAGCAAATACTATTATGTTACAATGGAATCATGATTGTACAACATATATAATCACAGAAAGCTGATGGGAAGCAGTCAATGAGTGAGACATTTGTGGCCATCTCTCACTCCACCAAGGAGAAGTCTTCTTAACTTGCTGACAAAAATCAAGTTAAAAAACGAAACGGGCCCCTCCAAAACCGACCACCTTCGTTAAAGTATAAAAATGTCCAAAAAAATAAAATTAAAAATGTCCCCCACCCTGTGTCACCCATGTTCTTTCACTACTGTTCCATTAGACAGAGAAATTAGCGTAATATATTCTCTCACAAACACTAATTTCCAACAAATCCCTTCCCCTATTTTCCAATTTATCAATTCTTGGCAGTTTAAGGCAATTATGTGTACTGATTATATTAGGACTGCTGATTATATTAACGTCCAATATTCGTAGTAGTATATGCATGATGAGCACTCGTTACCTAGGGATCCCAAAGAGAATATGTTTGCTTGTTATCCCACTCATCCTCCTCGATGTTATTGGAGAACACCATGGATTCCTCCAGCATTGCTATCTCTGACATTTGCATCCACATCTTTGGTGAATCCAGGGGTGACTCATTGATGGCCTGAATTTGGCTTGCAGAGAGCCTGACGGTGATGGGACCAACGTTGGAGGTAGAGCTGCCACCATGGGAGGACTCGGCTGTGAATGGCCTAAGGCTCATAGCTGCCTCATGGGCTGCCATGCGTATATCTTCAGAGCTAGAGCTTGTTGGCTTTGGTAGATTATGAACCAGGTCAGGAAAATTAAGTCTTGCATCATGTCCCCTAAAATGTAGGGCAGCAACATCATAGGCTGCTGCTGCCATTTCTGGCGTCTCAAAACTCCCTAACCAAATTCTATTTTTTTTCCCTGGCTCACGTATCTCTGACACCCATTTCCCCCATTTTCTCTTTCTTACCCCTCTATAGCTAGAACTCACACCACCATGGCTAGCAGTGTTTCTCTCTTCCATCTATAACTCCCAATATTTTTAGTAAGTGAGGTTATATTACGCCAGTATATATAGATATTCTTGGGCATGGTATCTAAGTTGATCGAAACGTGGTGACTCGGTAGGAAAGGAAGGGAGCTTCCAAGTAGTTGCATAGGGTGACAGATGTGTTTCTGTGCATGTTCACAATCTTTCTTCAGGTTTGAAACCTAAGAGATCGTTGATTTACATGAATTAACCAATCACAGAGCGGCAGATGTACAAGTTTTGAAAGGTTAAATGTTTTGTTGGGGGGGGGCTCAAGTTGATTAAAGGAGCTTACAAATGGAGATACTATCAATTAACATAACATAGACTACTGTTTGGCAACGCGGTTTGAAACTAGGTGGATTAGATTTGGACCCACTTGCCCTAAGGTCTATTCATTTAATTTTCCTGTTATGCTACTTGAAGGTGCTGGTTTTTTTCTAGGTCGAGAGACACATGCGTCTTCCTGGGTCAAGAGAGCAAGTTATTATATATTGAAAGAGAGATATAAAGGATGCTTGTATTCAAAATCATTTTAATTGTCGATTCTTAAAATGATCCTTACTTGTATATATTGACACTGAACATACAAGTATATTAATATTAATTTTATCTCATGTTTAATTATTTTATTTAAATTTAAATTATTAAAAGAAAAACGACTCTTAGAGGTTTAGTTGGTAATTGGTATTTGTGATGATAGTTCTTCAATATTATCATTTAGGGTTTGTATTTCAGGAGAAGTTATAAGAAAATTATTCTTGGTTAAAATATGAATGACTTGCATAAAATTTAATGGAAGAAACACCTGGTCCCAGTATATAAAAGCCACGTGTAGAATAGCCTTACTAATATTAAGTCTTGAAAACATCAAACTAAAATGGCCATGACTTAAATTTGCACTGTGGCATAATTATCTGCCACTAAAAACAGTTAGAAAAACCTCTAAAGGTTAATAATGAGGTTTGTTAGGGTGATATATGATGTTTTTTTAATATTTTTTAATTAAAAATATATTAAAATGATATTTTTTTTCTATTTTTTATTTTTGATATCATCGCATTAAAACCATCTAAAAATGCTCATCAATTTAAAATATATATTCAAAAACAAGTTATAATGAAAAATTCAAACATTGATCACAAATTCACATGCAAGTTGCGGATTACTTTATGACTAAAGATTATATGGCAACACAATGATAAATTTAAGATCAACCACCAATAACTAGTTTAACATCAAAATATTTTATCACTATTAAACTGAAAGGAGTATGAAATATTGCCATATTTTTAAGAATTTTTTATGTTTTGCATATGAAAAATAAAGAAGTAATATGCAAAACACACATGAATAAAAAGAAGTGGAGTAGTAACAAAAAGAAGAAGGATTAGTTAAGTAGTTAGATAGAAGTGGTTAATAGTTAGTTAAAAAGTAGTTAGCAGGAGGGAAAATAAGTTAGCAAGCCTAGCAATTGAATCCTCCATTGTATAAAGGTTATAATAGGGATTTCGTATGAACCAAACAATAAAAAAATAAGCAATTTATCTTCTTTTATCTATGTCTCACTACTTTTCTTCTTTCTTCTACTTCTTTGTTAGACTAATAACCTAACAACTGGTATCAGAACCTCCACAGGAGTGCATTAATTCACTCAATCCTAAAAAACAAATGGTGGAAAACAATAAAATAAAAGCTATAGACGAACTTTGTAGGAAACTTGATGAAAAATTACAAGGTATTTATCAAGAATCTTGAGAATTTATGGCGAATCAACAAAATGAATGGTAAGAATAATGGGTTGAACAAAATAAAAGGGATGATCAGATTAGATCGTAGATTAAGATGTTCACTAACCAATTCCAATCTTTCTTAGTTATTTAAAGGCTAAAAAGGGTTGGAAGAACTAATTTAGAGGATTCTTAAATACTCCACCAACAGGATAAAAAGTTTATACTCATAATAATAAGAAGGAAGCAGTATTAAAATTCAGAAACAATGTTTATAGAGAACACATGAGTAACCAGGATCACCACAAACGTGGGCACAATCCACCCTTTTCAAGGAATGACCTACTAATGTCTTAGGAAGATAATTCCAAAAGCTAGTTAAAGAGGTGTAAGAAATTTTTAAAACTCAACATTGTTCTCGTACAATAATGAGTTTAAGTGGCCTTTTACCTCTTTTTATCTGGAAGAAATGACAGATGTATTGTTTAAAGGTTATATATATATGAAAGGAATTGCATAGTAAGTCGGGATGAGTTTATTATGACTATGTGCAAAAGGTTTAGTAGCAAAGAGGACATAGTTGAAGAATTTATAAATTGGTGCATGAAGGTGGTGTGAATGACTATTTAAAAAGGTTTGAAGAGTTGAAATCTTTGATGAGTGTATCAAATCCTTCTTTTCCTGAATCTTATTACATTTATAGTTTTTTTTTATGAATTAAAAAAAAACATTAAACCAATACTAAAAATTCTTAAACCAGTTAATGGTAGATGCTAGTAAGTATCCAGATTATACATATATGGAGGGAATTATAAGATATAAAGAAAGAATTATAATTGAAGATAAAAGAACTTTGAGGGAAAAATTAGTAAAGGTGACATGATTCTTACATTAGTAACTAGACTGTCATAACTTAATTTTGGCCCTTTGGCTTTTAATTTAATTTTTACAGGGTTTAAAATGAAAAATTAAAAGATCAGAGATTTATTTCAATGAAAAGTGTGATTTGTCACCTTCCATGAAAATTAAGGACTATAATATGCCTTTGTCATTCTAGCATTATCCTCAAGATAATCCTTATCTTTTTCAAACTAATCCTTACCTTCAAGCTAATCCTTACCTTCTTCAAGATAATCTTTAAGATAATGATAGTTGTCTGCTTTCGAATTCGATTCTAATTCGAACTTTAGAAAAGAGAATGAGTTTGATTGAGACTTTACTTCTCGCAAGTGATGGGACTCTTGTACTATAAATACAGATCTTAGGGGGGAAGAAAAAAAAAAGGATGAACCCGAGAACAGAGAATTAACCCAGAAAAATAGAGCAAAAGAAGGAGAGAGAGAGAGAGGAAGGAGGACCATTAGAGAGAAACCCTAAAAGAAAAAACATCAAGAGGAGGCTATTACTAGAAACCCTAAAAGATAGAAACATAAAAAAGAAGGGGGCGACGAACTCTATATTAGCCGCCGCCCCACCTCAATCCTTTTCCTTTCCCGTCTCCCCCGACTTCGCC